AAAAAAAAAGCTCAGGAATAGTCATCTAGGATTTTCTATCATATTTGACTACTCTTCTTCCCGTTCTTCAAGATGTAAACATTCTCTAAAGTTCCCTCTGTTCTCGATCATAGGGAAACAAATACAGAATTTAAAAATCTTCCCCCTTAGGGAAATCTCTCAAATACCTTTCATTTCAATGAAATAGAGCTTTCATTTATTTCCATGGCTTCAATGAGGATGATTCCCAAATCCATCTCTCCTTGACTTTTCTGTACTAAGCTTCAGTTGTACTAATATTTCATTTCTCTCTCCATATCTATCCCCACCCTTCTTTACTCTCTGTCCCAAGAGGCTGACTCCCCTGGCTCCTCCTCTGTGGCACTGCCTTCAAACCAGTTACATCCTTTGATCAAAGGTCCCAGATTCTCTCAGAGCTCTCTCCAGGGCTCTCTCTTCTTTTGGGTTCCAGTAACCCTTCCCTCTGTTTGGCCCTTGGGCGAAAGGACAGAAACAGCTCTGATACTGCCAGCTCTAGGATACTGCCCTATCACTGTACACTTGCCCACATATTTGTAACTAGCCATTTATTAAAATATTCCTTAAATTATCGTAACTTGAATATGCCCTCTTTTTTGTGATGGGACACTGACCATACACTTGTACATCTTTAAATAACTAAATTATTTCCCCTTGGATGCTCTGCTTCAACTCACAATTCAACATGCTTATTACCAAACTTATCTGCTTCCAGAAGCAATCCTGTCTTCCTAAACCCTTATATGATACCATTGCCATCACTTAGAATGAGAAAACTGAGTACTTACCTAACTATGCTTCTCCCCGTAATCTGTCACGTCTTATTAGATCTTACATAGTAGAAATGCTAATATAAGTCCCTTCTGTTCCTATTGCTTCAACCTTGTTTTAATATTTCTCAAGCCATCCCTAACTCATACTGTAACAGCTAGTCTTTCTGCCTTATCTTTTCCCCTACAATTCACCCTCTACCTACTCAGATGCTAATTACCTAACACTTTCTACTCAAAACCTCTCAAATCTTTCTGCTTCTTACATACTTAATTACTAAACCTTGCGTTGAAACCACAATCTACTCACAATTCTTAATGGAATGTCCTGTTAATGTTTTACTTATTATCTTCTAAACGTGTCTTGAATTTCTACATTCCACTCATTTGTTAATTTTATTTCCCTTAATCTACATGCCTTTTGCCTACAGCCTGTCTGTCCAGATCCTACCATTTGTCCTCCTTCTCCACTTTCTCTAAAACATTCCCTAATCCTGTAAATTGAAATTTCCTCTTCTGAAAACTTCTTTGAATTTGTAAATAGTGCTTAATTGATTCTACACTGCTTTATATTTTGACCATAATGCATACATTTTATCTCCACAACTAAATTACTACCTCCTCGAGAGAAAAAAACATGTTGAACACAGTGCCCTTGCACACAACAAATGCAAAATATTTATTGATGTATTCTCATAAATTAAGGTAGAAGATTACAAGATAAACATAGTAAGTTAAGGTGCAAGATGAAGAAGCAGATTCTTAACAGCTCAATCTTCTCAGCCAAGTCTTAAAAGATTTCTAGGAAAACTTTATTAATGAGTGCATTGGTATAAACTCTACTTTTTACATGATAATCTGTAATAACCTTTTAAAGTTTATATATTCTTTATATATACATGCATCTGTATATATATATATATAATTTTTTAAAGAGTGGACATAAAAATTGAATTTTGGTATCTTAGGGAATCCAAGAGACTCCTCTCCACCCACAACCTACCAGTTTCCCCAGAGGCCTCGAGAACTGGTAGTATTTCCAGCCTGCCAGAGTCGAGACCACCCTTCATCCATACTTCATCACTATTCTTCAAAGGCTCTTTATGATTACTAAACTTCAGTTATCATCAAAAAGCAATTTATAGATTTATAGGTTTAGATGAATATGCCTATTTTTAAAGTTTCAAATGCATTTTGTTTTTCCTATATAATGTAAGAGATTTACTATTACATACGAGCTCTGAGAGAGAAATGTAGACTTTAAGTCTATAAAAAGGTGAATTAAAATGACCTATAATTACTGCTAACAAAATAAGAAATCATTTTATGCACAAAATAATGAAGATAGCTAAATGTACACCATTGTATGATTTCAGTACTCCTGCCTATGGACATATATGTATGGGTATATAGGGATAAAAGAAGAAAAACTTCAATGTAAACATGTTGAGAACTGATATAACAGATCAATAAATATAATTAAGAAATTTTTTAGATGAATATAATTTTAAATTATAATGTAGGAGCATTCCAGGAAGTGTTTCCTAGATATATAAAAGGAAATCTTATTCTATACAGATCTCATTGCCACCAATTCACCGAATAGAAACTGCTATAGCCATCTTTAAAATATTCCTTTTCTTGGAATTTGACACAACATTGTAAAATGACTATAACTCAATAAAAAAAGTTTAAAAATAAAAATGAATCAAAAATAAAATAAACGTATGTACTAACAACAACAACAAAAGAAACAAGGCATCAAATAAATAAATAAATAAATAATCCTTTTCTTTACTTCCCAGTCTGCTTATTCTCCCAAACCTACACATACATGGAAGGTAAAATTTATATCACCACAACAAATGAACCAGACTCTAATCTAACCTAAAAGGAAACATGCATTATAATAAGTCATAATAACCTCTATTCATCTATGTAGGCTTTAGATAACAGGAGAATAAAAATTTATTAAGATCCAAACTCATTTAAAAATGCATTTTATTCTTTAAGTAAAAACAAAATTAAGCTCAGATTAACTGATTCTAAACTTATTTTTATATATTGACTAACAATCCTTACTAAGTTACTATGACCCATAGTATTTTAAAATAAATTAGTATCTTATAGTCTCCAAGTTCTGCATGCTTTATGATGAATAAATGTGAGTGTATTAAATTGTTCTAATTACAGATGTGTCAGCCAGAAGTTTTCAGTCTGAATTTGGCATTGCCTTTAGAAGAGTTATATATGAATTCTACATTTTACAGTGTTGTTCCATAAAAAGAGGTAAGAATAGCTATTCTTTATTTTCAGAAGTAATAAAGCAAGCATAGACTTTTTTTCTTTACATTCATGAGCCAGAATGGAATTAAAAATAAAATGTAAGATGAATTTCTCAGGTGCTTTTAGAGTATTTTAGAAAAATGTAAGTTATTTACTAACATTTCCATTCAGTGTTGAAGAAGAAATCTAAAAAATATTATCAAGTATCCAAAAACCACTTTTAAGATATCCTAAAAGTAACTGTTCTTTTACCCAGACTTTGTATATGCTCTTTTTCAATATTACAGTCACTCATATCCCTGCCCTGCAAATGATATCATCATCCTCTGAGTTCAAAAAGACTAAAAAAATAAAGTCCCTTAAGTGGGTTATATACACTTCTTATTTGGAAGTATTTTTACTTGATTAATGAACCACTGACCATCAAAAACTGTACCACCAGTAAGATTTGGCCAACATGTTCTGGTATTTTAAGGTGAATTTAAATTTCTACAATACAAACTTGGCACTGTAGTTTTCATTTTTACAAAGTTTTCAATTTGCTACCAAAATCACAGTCTTCCTTTTTTTTTTTTTTTGATCAAAACATTTTCCAAAAATTTCAATCAGGTTCTATTTTTTTCATTCAAGTATTAAGTTATCATACTTTTTTCTTGTATTATTGGTTTTCTATTTAGTTATGCTCCTATAATAAAATCAGTTACAATATCTACTTCAAAATATCATCCTACATAATAGTTTTTTAAGTGTTCTTCCTATTCGTTTCCTCAAGAGGAAAATTATCTCGCCACTAAACTTCTAGCTTCAGACTGGAAAACTCTCCAAACTCAAAAAAACACACATATCTTCCTGCCACTTGCATTATCTACTGTAAATCAAGTACCATTCCAGACTATAGTCACGAAGCCTTTATGAAGTGTAAAGCTAGCTGTTCTGATGAAAAGAATTGATGACCACTTCACATGGGGTTTGCTGGCACTGTTGTCATCACTGCTCCAAAGAGCAAGGTAACCTCCAATCCCTTAGCTCAATGAAAAGTAAAACTGGAGAAAGAACAGCTTTAAGCTGAAAAAAGCTAACAGTCCTAGGGAGTGCTACTAGGCCTCAGTAAGCAGAAAGACATCAAATACACAGCACTTTTTTTTTTTTACAGCACTTTTAATCATAAGACTTTGCTACATTTGTAGAAATGTATCTGAATTATTAAGAATTTTTATAAGGACTATAAACCAAGCATAAAAATTTTTTCCATTAACTGATGAAGATAAATTTTAATGTATATTATTATAAAACTGCCACCTTCTGGTAAAAAAAAACAAAAAAACCCTCTATTTTCTTTATGGTCAATGGCAAAAATGAAAAGGTTTCTCCAAGAATTACATATACTAATCCTCAATTAAACATACAGGTATCTCACCACAGACATAGGTGAAATATCAAAATTTCTAAGACAAAAAGGGAAGGAGAATCTGATAGACTAATCCAAAGATGCTTTTGACCTAAGAAAAAAGAAATCATACTGCTCCCCTGATACTAATCAAAAGAAACTCTTAATCTACTACAGAATGAGATTACTGTATTTCTTGAATTAAAAAAAAATTATATACTAGCCTACTGACTTCTACAAGTTCTAACTAGTCAATATTTCCACTTCCAGAAAAACATGACAAAAATAGTTTCATTATTATTGGCCTATAATTTTGTCCTTAAGGTCCATGATATGAGATTCTACTTCAAAGAATTATAATGTAGAACTTCTTATATGTATATATAAATTCTCTTAAACAAGAGATGTTTCACTGGTTTCTAAGCTCTACTAAACAGCATTAAAGAGGTTTTTCAGTGTGTTATTCATCTGGTAATAGTAATGTTGACACTTACAAAATGAGAACATTATAAATAATGAACATTTTATGAGATGTCTACCTGTTTCCACATTCTCGGTTTCAACTTCTTGTTCTTCTGCCACATCTTGCATCATATAAGTCTCATCATCATAAACCAGAACCTGGGCTGCATAGCCCTGCTCTAATCTGGCACTTGGAACTGGCTCCACAATCACTGCTGGATATTCAGAAACCTTTTCACTTTCCTATAAGAGCAAATTTAAAAAACAATCAACCTCTTCATTCACAAATTCTAGATTCACTTATAAATCCTTGAGTTCATATAGTCTCAAGGAGTCCACACGTTTCATGTTTTATAAATATGAACGTAAAAACTAAAACAAGGGATGAAAAGGGCTAACTTTAATAATCTTTTCAAGTCTCAAAAAGTGAGACATACATTAAACATTTTAAATAATCAGGGCTTTAGGATTAAGATGGCAAATTAAAAACATGCATATATTTTCACTCTCATGAAAGCCCACTAAAATGCAATAAAAAACTTTAGACATAAACTGATAAGAAGAGATAAGAGCAACAAAAGAGAAGAGATAAGAGCAACAAAATCTTGGAAGACTGAAAGTGGATGGATGAATATTATTAAGTGGTTTAGCAGACCCAGGAAAGCCAAATCATAGCCTGGCAGCAAAAAAATAAATGAGACACAACACACTTTACACTGGAGAATCCACAGAAGGCAATACCAATTACTTCTGGAAATAGAGGAGCAGCAGGTGGTGGAGAAAGAAGGGGAGGGAGGGGATTAAAACAAGGAAGATTCCATTAAAGTTGTTTGAAAAGCACTTTTTATTCCTAGACCTCCTCCCTCTTCCATGATGCTAGGCAACCGGCCCTTCCCCACCTCAGCAGAAGACTGGAGAGTTACTTTCTGGAGAGAGAAAAACAAGAGCATCTTTGAGGTATACAGGCACATTTGCTAATATCAGTACTGTACCAAAACAGAGTTTCCAATTAACTTTTTAGTCCTTCAATTTTAATCACGAGCAGACAACCGAGTATTATCTGGGCATTCTATCATCCAAGGAAAAGCTGCTGACACAAAGCATATCATATACATGCATACACACATATATATTTATATTCCTCAAAGAGATAACAGAAGATATATCTATAAAACAAGAACAGAATACAATTTAATAAAGAACGTTAAAAAATAAAGAGTTCTTAGAAATTAAAAACACAATAGCTGAAATGAAGAAACAGAGGCTTGGAGGATAAAACTGAAGCAGTCTTCCAGGAACCAGAAAAAAAGATACAGGAGAGAAAAGAGGACACTATTCAAAACTAGTACAGGAGGTCCAATATCAAATAATAGAAGTTCCAGAAAGAGAAAACGGGGGGTTGAGGGGGAGGTTGGAAAGAAATGAAGGAACTCCAGAAAAATTTCCACTCAAAGGATATGAGCTGCCCATTTAAAAGGACCTACCAAGTGTTCAGTATAAACAAATTAAGGATGAGACCTACACTGAGGCACACCATGGTGAAATGTCACAATACTAAGGACAAAAAGATTCTATACAATTCTTGAAAGAAAATACAGGTCACAAACAAAGAATCAGAACTCAGACTTCAGTCATCTCAACAGTCATACTGGAAGGAAGAGGACACTGGGGCCATTTCTTCAAAATTATAAAGGAAAATTATTTCCAACCTGCAATTCTTCATCCAAATCATCTTATCAAAGAAGAATAAAGACATTTTCTCAGACATGAAAGATTTCAAAACATTTATCTTCTATGTATCTTTTCTCAAGAAGCAACTGGAGAGTGTATTCCATTTTTTTAAAAAGTATATTTTTAATAAAGACAACAACTTAGGATACCCAACAAGGGAGAGAGACAATGGTAATCTTAGGAGGAATGGACTGTGAAGAGATTCCAAGATACCAAATGTTCCCTGGATTTAAAGGGTAACTAGTTCCATTGGAGCAATGTGACCCCTGATACAGCATGAGAAACTGTCATCATCAAGATAACCACTGCCACTGTTCCTAAAGGCAGAATGCCCAGATAAGCCTATTCTAGATATTTACTCATATTTGGCTTGCCTTAATGTACCTACTCACTCCACCTTGCCTTGCTACCTGATCAGCTAAGAACACTCCTTTTCACCTCCCAGATGTGTTCCGCTTCGATCTATCTTAAGTGTTGGAAGACTACAAAGAGCTTAGAAACCAAAAATAAAGAACAACACTCTTTCCACGTGACCAGATACCTGCTGAACAAACCTGCAATACTGGGTCCATACTGGACACTGCCAGATACCTAACCAAGACAGCCCTGTGTTTCCAAAATAACTCATTATATTGCTTACAGATTACTCAAGTAGAAACCCTTGAAGCTCAGTGAAACTGATGCCAGGCTAGTAAGTCTGTTTCCTGGAAGCCTTCATCTAACTATGGTAGTGCTGCCTTTCCTAATTCAGCGTAGTACAACTATTCATTTTTTCAAAGTAAACAATGTGTTGTTTAGGAATATATCCACAAACAATAAAACTATAAAGAAAAGTAAAGGAATGAGAACACATAAGTCAAGATAATGGCACCTCTGGAGACAGGGGTGGGGATATAAGGTGGGGCACACTTAAGTATTCTCAAATACTGGTAATTTCTATTTTTTAACCGGAGTGATAGGTTACACGTCCTCTTATTATTCTTAAATTGAAATATATATATATATATTTTATATACTCTTCATTTTGTATGAAACATTGCATAACATTTTAAGATAAATTACAGAGATACAGTGAATTTTAAAAAAGAAAGTACATGTTGAATATTAACATTGAATTTGCTATTCTGTATAAGGCAAAAAATGTAAGTCAAACTTTTTAATGTCAAAAAAAAATCTTTCCCACAAACTGGATGTACTGACAATGGACTCTTCATGCTTCTTGATCAGCTTTATAACCACAGCCTACAGGCTGCACCACCTAGCTATACAACAGCTGTTAATGAGAAGCATGGGATACAGAAAGAGTGATGTCTCCACTCATTAGAAACTCAGAAAGCAACATCATAAGCACCTTTGAACTAGTATTGGTCCAAGCAATACATATTTTCTTTATATATAACCCAAGAAATTTTTAACTTTTTATTCTTTCAAAATCTAACAGTATTTTTAATAATAACATTAATCTGAGATTATTTTTTATTGTGAATTCCCCACTCCCACCGTACCAGTAGGAAATAAATCTAATTTGCTGAACTATGAAATACTTGATGACTAGAATTCTGTATAAGGCCAATTCCTTTATCTATACTCTCCTCCCCACCAACAAGGATTCTCCTCCCAACTCTTCTATCTCACACATCTTAGGTGGGTTTCATCCTATTTTAATATTTCTGTGGTTCCTTGCCTTTAACCATAAAAAAGCAAAACTTTTTATTAAAAAAAGTCAACTCCTCTTTCTTTCAAATGAACTCTAGATCTTTGCTTTTTAAGCAAAGATGTATACAATTCTCAAAAAGATAATCCAACTCCTTGACTCTCTATCTACATATACCTTATATTCTAGTCTACCACCTCACTGAAACTATTCTCTCAAAATGTCAATAAGGATCAAATTCTCTTTCAGTTTTCATCCTCCTTTACCTTTTGTGCAGACTAATACACTGACCATCACCTCATTCAAAAAATTATTTCTTTCATCGTTTTTGTTCCCTTTCTACCACTCTGCTTTTAAGCATCTCCTGACTCTTTTTCCATTCCCAGTGACTTAAATACAGCCACATTACTAAGGTTCTATGCTCGGCATCTCCTTTCTTTTTACTCTATACTCTCTTCCCAGGCATGTCCACCCATTTTTATGGTTTCAAACAGCAACTCTAAACTAATTATTACTAAATATTTATCTTCCACTCTGACTCATCTCCTGAACTCCAGAACCAAATTTTAAACTACCAACCAAACATCACAAGAATATTCAGCCAATACTTCAAACTTAACGTGCCTAAATGGAATAAATTATCAACATCTCTCCCTGTTCCCCCAACCCTTTGTTCTTCCTTAAACCTCAATTTATTCACACTCAATAAAGAGGTTATAAGAATATTCATACCTCACAAAGGCCCTTAAAAATCAAATAACACAAAGTACTTAACACAGTGTCTAGCACAGAAGTACTCAATTAGTGATATCTATCATTATATTGTAACAGTCACAGTATTCAAACCTACTACTTGCTCCCAACTTTGGAGGACATTTTTTCACACTACAATCAGATTTATTTATATTACTTCTCTGTACAAAAAGCTTTCACGAGTCCCCTTTCTAAAAGGAAAGGTGAACATACTTGTGTTTTTTTTAGCACTCTGTGAAGTATAACTCTCAACCTAGCTGTTAAGGGTTGAATTGGGCCCTTCAAAAGATGCTGATATCCTGACCTCCAAAATCTGTGAATCTGAGCTGATACAGAAATAGAGCCTTTGCAGATGATCCAGTTACAATGAGATCATTAGGATGAGCCCTAATCCAATATGACCGTGTCTTTATAAAAAGGGGAAATCTGGACACAGAAAGACACGTACGGTGGGAAGATACTGTAAAGACACAGAGAGAACAACATCCACAAGCCAAAGAACACCTGAAACTACCAAAAGCAAGGAGAGAAGCATGGAAGAGATTCTCTCCCCCAGCTCTCAGAACCAACCCTGCCAGAACTTAATTTCAAACTTCTAGTCTCCAGAACTGATACAGTAAACATCTACTGTTTAAGCCATCAGTTTATGATACTTTATTACAGCAGCCCCAATAAACTAATATACCACTTTTACAGCCTTTTTTCCTACATTACTTCTCTCAGCTAGCTGATTACTTGCTTTGCCCCTATTTCTCAAAAGTAAAAGCTTCCCTGACTTTTGCTTGTGTTCATTTTGTAGCCTGAAATTACCTTCCATTGCTTGTACAAATCTTTTTCACTCACTAAGGGCCAAGTTCCAGGAGTCTTCTATAATCCCCCAATCTGAGTCAATTTTCCCATCCCAAATACTTCTAGAACAAGTTGTTTGACTATAATTACCACTGTGCATTATCCTGTATTATAATTACCTGTTTACATAGCCAACTCCTTGACAAGACAGTAAGATGATTGGGAGCAAGAGTCCACATCTTAGTCAATTTTTATATCCTTCCAACAACATGCACTTCATATAAACTGAATTGGCATTTAAGTATTTGTAGCTAGG